TCTCTGCACCACCAGTCGGTGCGCTGGTCAATTATTTAACAATGAGAAATTGGTTATCTCAAAAGAATTCTTTCCAAATGCATTTCAGAGCGTCTCTCTAATCGAAAATGATTCCCTACGCTAACTGGAATTTGTGGCTACGTCAACCGTGCTATGCATAACAGTATCAAAAAGAACTCACCCAGCGCCCCGACCTGATAAGTCACAACGGTCTTGTTTTTCTTCGTTAAACCCATCAATGCGGTATGGTGAAAGTCGGTAGCATCGCAAGCAACCCAAATAAACGGGTCGCAGACTGTTTTCAAATCAAACGGCACTCCGTCACGAACAAACCTAAATAATATATTTACTCATCAGCTAATACTGAAGGACAAATTCATGAGTATTAAAAGACCAAAAAGCTAAATTTTCTTGTCATCCTTCTCCCACAGAAACAGAGTACAGGTCTGAGAGGATCTAATAACAAATTGCGAGTAGTAACAGTTCGCCAAAACAGATCATTTGATGGTTACGAACGCAGAGAATCCCTTCTTTTTTAAAAATGCTGAACAAGCAGGCTAAAGATGTTTTGTTTCTCCCACATGTACCAGTATCTATTTTTTTCACGCATGGGCGTGTGAAATTTCGTATTTCGTGCATACCAAACTTTAAAATAGTGCATATTCCTATAAGCAATTGTCAGCCCGGCAAAAGTGCACAAATGGCATGATGACATTGGCTGCCTTGGTGCATGACGCTACTTATTTATTATTATGTCTTGCTAAATGTATGAAAGCGAACCGGCCCATCAGTGATCGAGCTTCTGAAGTTGCGAGAGGTGAACATTTGAATTTGAAAACAGGCACCGAGTAGCACATGTCTCCTTGCGCAGGTCTTTTTTTTGACTAAAAAGCAAACATGTTTAGTTCAGTGCGAGCTACAGAAATAACTAAACCCTCTTCTAGAAATGCGGTCATAGGTTACAAAAAGCAGTGCAATCTTGAAGCTGGTTTCAAGTCATTTATGTCGCCTTTGGTGATAGAATAAAACCATCACCAATACTGCCAACACTACCAATACTGACAGATGTGAGCTACTGTGAGCAGTAATTTTAGCAATGAATTTGATTTTCGCAACAAAAAAAATCTCAGATCCGTTTACATCAGCTTACTATATTTTCGGCCTTCTGTTGCCAACTAACAATTATTACAAGCAGAAGTGTGCGCGATTTCAACGAATTAGATATCGAACTTTCCTAATCCCCCACTCAGTTGCTTACTTTGCATTCTTGCATTTCAGCACTACAACCAGCGTCTTTGGATCCATTTATTCAGTTCTTTTGAAAATTCAAACTAATTTAATGCTTTTCCCCCTGGACAAAATTTCACATCCCACTGGCTAAATTTCGCCTTACTAATCATTTTTGCCAGTTTTTCTATCTACATGAACGATTCTGGTTTTGCGTTAGAAACACTGACTCTATCACTACACCCAGAACGAAACACTGCCTCTTTTCTACTCGCTCTTCTTCTCCTCTCCTCATCCCGCTGTGCCCTCCCCTTTCCCCGTCCAACGTGCGCAATTTGCTGCGATTTCACAGTCCCTCATTTTCATCTAATTGAAAAGATTTAGCAGAAAAGCACTAACCTCCAGGTCCTTCAACGTCATGAAGTGAAACTTCAGCGGCGAGCCGCCACATTTCGAGCTGCACGACGACTCCTGCGTAACATCGGCTCCTTTTTCACTCACGACAGTCTGAACAACATTCTTCAGTTGAGAAAGACCCATGGCTAGCCATCAACAATACTCTAACTGTTGCTGTGGAGCTCGGAGTACTGATAGTATTCGCGAGCCAACTGCCTCAGATCCCTTTGTTCTAAGCTGCAAGTCTCTACTGCATATCTGCCTTCCTTGCAGTTACTAGCACATACCTGCCTCCTCCTTCCCGCTGGTACCACCACTGATACGTCGCAGCCACCAGCAACGCACAAACTGTGCGCAACCGCGACGAAGTAAAATTCCTGAAGATTGATTAGCTTACCAGGGATGCATCATCGGTGGGTTCGGAAATGCGGTCAATAAAAATCAACTGCAAACCGTCCATCCAAGAAATGTTGCAAATCAGCGGGACGTCTGTTGCCTTCAGCAGGCGAGCCCGATATTTTTCATACTAAATAAACATATATCACAGATTAAACTGACTACACATAGCTCAATTCAGGCGTGGTAATGCCTGGATTTCTTATGCGTTTTTTGTAGCTATGCAATGCGGGAAACGCATACAGACGAGAGATTGTCTGTGTGTGTGTGTGTGTCTTTGTGTTCGTCTCTACCGATTTTTCATCTCGACACCTACAAAAGCTACAGGGCTGAAACCTTGGGAACTTAATTTACAGGCATGTACGGGTCTCCACCCTCAAAATGGGCAGTCTTACCCGCGTGGTATCCACGTACGGGCCCGTGAAATTTTTTTGTGGGTAAGTCGCTAACTCGCGAATCAGAAAAGCTAGAAAGCTGAGATTTTAAGGGGATGTTCCCTGTCCACGTAAGTCCAAATGAACTCAAACCCAGCGCCCGGGTAAGCGTGGTGCTCGCGTACACGCCCGTAAAGAATTTTTTTGTGTAAGTTATAACTCGGGGATCTGAGAAGCTAGAAATTTGAAATCTTCGAGGGATGTTCCCCGTCCAAGTAGGTATTAATGAGCTCAAACTCAGCCTTCGGGTAAGCGTGATACCCACGTACAAGCCAGCAAAAATTTTTTCCGTGTAAGTTCATAACTCGGGGACCTGAAAAGCTAGAAAGCTGAAATCTTAAGGGGATGTTCCCCGCCCAAGTGAGTATTAATTACCTCAAACCCAGTCCCCGGGTAAGCGTGGCACCCATGTGCGGGCCTGTGAAAGTTTCTCTTGGGTAGATTGATAACTCAGGGATCTGAAAAGCTAGAAGGCTGAAATCTTAAGGGGATTTCCTCCGTCCAATTGGATATTAATGTGCTCAAACTCAGCCCTCGGGTATGCGTGGTACCCACACACAGGCCCGCCAATGTTTTTTCGGGTAAGTTGATAACTCGAGTACCTGAAAGGCTAGAGGACTGTAATTTTAAGAGGATATTCCCTGTTCGCCTAAGCCTCATTCAGCTCAGACCCAGAACCCAGTAAGCGCGATATCCATTTATAGGCCCGCAAAAGTTTTTCGGGCAAGTTGATAACTCGAGTACCTGAAAGGCCAAAGGAGTGTCATTTTAAAGACTTTTCCCATCCAACTAAGTCTCATTCAGCTCAAACCTAGTCGTTGGGTATGTTTGGTACTCACACACGAGCTCACCAAAGTTCTCGAGTAAGTTCATAACTCGAGAACTTGAAAAGCTAAAAGACTGTAGTTTTAAGAGGATGTCTCCCGTCCACGTAAATTTCAACGAGCTCAAACCCGTACAATGGGTATGCGTGGTACCCACGTACGGCCCGTGAAGGTTTTTTTATGCGTTTTTTGCAGCTATGCAATGCAAAAAAGGCATATTGACGAGGGGTTGTCTGTGTGTCTGTGTGTCCTTGTGTGCGTCTGTCATGATTTTTCATCTCAAGACCTACAAAAGCTACAAGGCTGAAACTTTGGGAACTTAATCAACATGCACGTACGGGCCCCAATCCCCAAAATAGGCGCCATTATCCGCGTGGTACCCACGTACAGGCCCGCCAAAGTTTTTTCCGAATAAGTTCATAACTCGGGGATCTGAGAAGCTAGAAAGCTGAAATGCTAGGGTGATGTTCCCCGTCTAAGTGGGCATTAGTGAGCTCAAACCCAGCCCCCGAGTAAACGTAGTACCCACATACGGGCCCGCCAAAATTTTTTTTGGGTAAGTTGATAACTCAAATAGCTGAGAAGCTAAAGGTAATTTTAAGAGGATATACCCCGTCCACCTGTGTTTCATTCAGCTCAAACCCAACTCTCGGGTATGCGTGGTAAACACGTACGGGCCCGTGAAAATTTTTTTCC